TGTATTCCTCTGCTGGCAGGAGGTCCACTCTCCTAGCAAGTTCTAGGACTTTAATTATTGGTAGGTAAACTTAGTCTGAGGAACATGTTGCTGATCAGAATTTGTTTATCCTTCCTTAGGTGGCTGAAGAAGAAGAGGAAAAAAGTGCAGCTGAACTGCAAGCTCTAGAGATACATAAAAACCTAATTGAGGCTGGAGTCAACGAGGGCCTCAATGAAGCTATGAATGAGCTACACGAAATTCAGAAGAAGTAAGTGCACACAGCCAGATGTTTTTTTTAAAACAGATTGTTCCTGAGAAGTCTACTGCATTGCAATGTAGAGAGAAAACCATACTCTGGAAGGTTGATGGTGAATTTCTGTAGTTTGTATAAGATTTCCTTGACTGAATACGTAACTAGCCCTTAGTCTTGCACATATACTATGGTTCCCATATCACTAACTCTCTTTCCTCCCAGAACCTTGCAGTATGGAGTATTAATTAATGCCTGCATAGCAAGGGCTGGTTAAAATTTGAGACAAACGTAAGAAAAGTGCCTGCTACTTTCAGTGGAAAATGGACTTTGTCAAGAAACCAAAACCTTTTCACTTTTTGAAAATTAACCCTGTTTTTTTTTTTTTTTGACTGACTAAATTGATTTGAGGGGAAAAGCCCATTTCTAATCAGCCTTGCTACTGTGAGTCTGCCATAGTGAGTCCGAAATACCTGTATGTGTTTGGACACATTTCCATATACTGTGAAATTCAGAAGTTAACTTTCAATAGTGACTGGACTGTAGTTAAAGGTTTCAGTATCCTTTACAGTTCATGCATTCTCTAATATCCAGCCATGTGAATGTTAGTTATTACATATTCCAATTCTATGCCCCATCTATCAAGAGTCTTTGAGTTTTCAAGTTCTACAGAAAGGCCCCAAGACTTGACACACTTGTTGAACATATAAAAGTCCTAATATTATACCTTCTAGCTCTTTTATAGCCTTTCATCAGTAGATCTCAAAGTGCTTTACAAAGGAAGTCTGTATTACCACCGTTTTACAGATGGGTAAACTGAGGCACCGGAAGGGAAAATGCTTGTCCAAAGTCACCCAGCAGGCCAGTGGCAAAGCCAGGAATAGAACTCTCAAATCTGAGTCCCAGTCCCCTGCTTTATCTTGTGCCATGCTACATAAACCATGCACATTCAAAGTCTAGCCCTACACATATAGCTGCAGAATGTTAATATTTTTAACACTACAAAGCACGCATAATATTGTTGTGTAACTAAGATTTCTCATCTTAGACTACATCTATATATAATACCTAAAAATACTCCTGTGTACATGGATGGTTCACTGCCTTTATAGAGGTTTTGATATGTTTGAACTGATTAAAAATGTATTGGGAGAGATTAGATGTAAGGTTATTGTAATGTCTGATAATGCTGAATTGGCTAGATGCTTGCTAGAGAATGTATAAACTGTATAGGTACTCAATTTTATCTATAGTCTTAGTTTCAGGATTAGATTTTATTTGAAATTGGATTTTTATTTTATTTAAATTATTTTTTATAAAAATAAACCTGTTTAAAATTAAATCTGGACAAAAAACAAGCAAACTGAGTTAATAGCTGTTTTCTATATAGATGATGTTTTTCCTGAGTAACGTTTGAGGTCAAGCTTTTTAAATATGGCACAATAGGTCAGCCTGAGTAATTTAGGAGACAGTCTTATTTTCAAGAGACTTAGGTGAGACTAGGAATTTAAACTCACTTTTACTTAGGCATATTTGAAAATTTTCCCAAGCTCACCTGAAATAACCAGTTTAATCCACTGAGTAGTTAATCTCTGTTTAATAAATCATTTAGTTGTAAAGGTGGAACATGCTTTGATAAGAGATTATCTAGCCAAAACATTTAAGGTGGTATTTTATATTCTGTTTTGTGTTTGTTTAAATTCCAGTTACCATCCTACTACAGCTTGACACAAATCAGAGCAAAAAGTAAATTATCTAGTAAATAAGCAGTATCACTCACAATTTTCTAATGTACAGTTAATCTGACAATATTAAGCTACATAATTGCTTAAATGTAGATAGTTCTAGTGTATCCTCTTAGGTAGCAAAAGGATGCACTAAATCTAGTGAAAAGGCTTTAGTTGTAAATTAACATTTTAATAGTTGCATCTTCCAATGAGAATGCACCTTCCTTTAGAAAGACACTGAAGTACAAATGGAAAAGTAGGTTTAAATCGAGGCTTTCCATTTGGTGATTTTTAAATTGCCTTGATTTAAATTACTTTGATTTAAATTATCCAGCCTGTTGAGTTTTTCTAACATTTATTACATTGTCAACCTTAAAATGAAGAGGTTTCTCTTTGGCCTGGGCATGCAATTAAGGGAATGTATTTGTATTCCTCAGGCACCAGATTGCTGTGAGGACAACAAATGAAGAGAAAATGCAACTGCTTGATAAGTTGTACCGTGTCCTGGAGATGGTGGCTTTTCATGTGGGGTCTGTAGAGGTAAGTCACACCCATTACTGTTAACACGAAAGCAGGGTTAGGAAATATACATTGCCCAAAAGGCAATTTACGGTCAGTTCATTTCCACGCCACCCCTCTTTAATTCTCTCTCTCTCCACGTCCTGCCCAGTTCATGGCAGGTTATGAAGAAAGAGGTGGTCTGTTCTCCCCAAAAGTCAGTCAGTCAGTCTCTCTCTCGGGAGTGACTGGTTAGTGTCTCCAAGCTGCTTGGAAAGAACAAATCTCTCTCCTGTTTGTCTGGGCATGCTGAACCTTCTCCCTTCCTGTACAGAAAAGTCCACAATTTCTCCCAAAGTGACACAATAGCAAATTCCATGTGGATTAAAAATGTGCTGAAACTAACTGCCATGTGCAAGCAGAGCACCCAACCAGTGTGTGGTGTTGGGAATAGCCTCTTAATGGTCTCTTGTTCTAGGGTTCCTTTTATGGATATTTCATGACTGATTGCCTTAGTCATATATATATATATATATATATATATATATATATATACATACACGCACATACTCCATAGCTCATCTTCCCTACCTCCCCCTCAAATTATTGGCAGAGCCAGTAAAATGACCAGTTTACTGGTAAAATGACCCCTTGTAATGCTTCCAATGTCTATTAAGCTTTTGCCAAAGAGCTTGGAGGCTGCAAAAGTACAGCACCATGCCTTGCCAACCTCACCTAAAACAGCTGTCACCACACTGATTGAATGTAGGATGAAATAGCAGTAACAATTGCAATTGTTCTTCCTGGGCTGTATTTGAAAAAGGAGACACTGTAGGTCTCCAAATACTTGAATTGTTGGTGTTCAGTACTGCTGATGTGGGTGGATGTTCTAGTTTGTTCAGACCCTCTGTTATCAGAACTGCAAAAAGTAGAGATCATTTTGGAAAGATGACAATAGCCTCTCCTGTAGTTCAAAGGCTTATTAACCAATCCGCAAAGGGTGGGATGTGATTGATAGTTTGCATTACAATAGACAACACAAACTGTGGGAGGGGAAACAGGCACAGAGAGGGGCCAGGGATTCAGCCAAGGGCAGTGAAATGACAGAAGTAGAAATAGAACTCTGGGCTCCTGACTATCCCTAGAGCATCTGCCTCACAATTAATGTTGCCAGTACCTTTATTCAGGGAAAACAATTTTAACCAAGAGGGCTTACGCCATAAAGAGTGTGCAGTTTGCTGTGTAAATTCATCTAGGTTAGTGAAAGTATTGGGCCATCAAAACCCCTTCTAAAATGGAATTACACTTGTAGTGACTGTGCAGGGGATGGCTACAGAAGGGAGATGAATGCTTAGGCCATTAGACACAAGCTAGGTGAGGTAATATTTATTGGACCAACTTTTGTTGCTGAAAGGGACAAGCTTACGAGCTTCACAGCACTTCTTCGGGTCTGGGGAAGGTAAATGGTTAGGACACTGTAATCCAAGTGCAAGATTCAGATTGCATGTTTCCAATCTGAAATATACACATTCAGTGGGAAGGAGAAATGTGGAAACAACTAATGCTAGACTAGGGGAGAGAAGAGGCATACTTAGATATTCAGAGTGACATCCTGCACCATTAACTTCAATGAAGCTGGGATTTCTCTGAAGGTTTGTACCAGGAAATAGAAGAAAAAAAAAAAAAGTCTTAGGTCTGTGAAGAAGAGGCACTATGGCAGAGAGCTACCAGTCACTCTGCAGACATTTAAGAGGGATCTAAAGCTTCCTAAAAATCAACAAATTATCCATGCTCCTTTGGTGTTCTGCTATGCTAACCTCCCTCAAGAACAGGATTGGCTTTTACACCATCAGCCTATGAGTTGAGACTATTTTAATAGGCAACACAGGTATGTCTTTTATTCACAAGAACTCCTAGGGATCAGATTTGTGCCCTAGGAATTCACAAAGTTTGGTGGCATGCCACTGTCAAACATAGCTGTTTTCAACCTAGTTACTTTACTATCGAGTCAGATCTTGGAGTTTATTTAGTTATTTTTTTTATTGAAGAAACCAGTTTTACTATTTAAATTAGATAGCTGGCCTTATTCCAATGCAGTGGATAATAATAAAAGATGCACATGGTGCTGACACAGAAGCTGCATGTCTTTTAGGTTAAAAACGAAAGTTGGAAATCTCACCAGTAACATTCTCTTCCTAGAAATACCTGGCTGAGCATAATGCAAAAGCTGATACAGTGTTTGAAGAATTTATGTCTGAAGACCTCTTGGACAACCTGAAACAAATCCTAGCTAAATATAAAAGTAAAGCTAATGCTCTATAACCCTTGCATGGAGGACTTCACCTATGCATTTTTTTTCCCTGTAGCACAATTGTAATCTGGGCCAGTCCTGCATTCCTTCCACTAACTCCCAAGGCAGTCAATCTAATGGTAATTACGTATGTACAAGGACTACAGGATCTGGTCCACAATGTGCTGTTTGAGAGCTGTTACTCCTAAGTATATATTTATTAAATTCTTACAAATGTAAACTGTGTGTGTATTTAAAAATATCAAAGGTATTTCATAAAGATTTTTGATAGCAGTTGGTGTAGTGTGATTTTTTTTTTTAAATAAGAACCTTGGGTTCTGCAGGCAGATGTATATGAAGCTATAGGATTTAAGACACACTTTTCAAAAGGGTCCATTAATTTTGGATGCTTGACTTGGCAAGAGCCCAGAGCATGCAGCACCCAAAACTGAGTGGATGCTTCTGAAAAGTGTTTGCTAGCATGCTGAAACTATTCACCAAGAACTGACATTGAGCCATAGCATGTGCTCCAGGAAACTCTTTGCCCCTGAGAGATGTACCATTTGGGACACAAAGTGTTGGGACAGCACCTCTGCTGTTATGACACTAAGCACTTCTAACAGTGGTTATAGATGGAGTCATAGCCCTGACTCTCCCTTTGTTCTGCTTGATGGATTTAACTCCTAAGTACTTTGATCAATCTCTTTTGCTTACAGCACATAAGAATTAGTTTACTGCATTAGGCTACTGTTCCAACAACTCCCAGATCCTGTTTTTAGGAGTGGCTACTATCAGGTAGCAGGATTAACATCTAATGACAATTAGGTTAGGTAAAGCATTTCCTTTTATGAACAGACATGAACTTGACCACACACCCTTTTAATCTACACTTAAGTCACATGTAGAGTACAGACATAGCATTGGTATTTAACAGGATTGCTTCAGTGAAGAGCACATGCCTGAACCCCCAGGCTGGAGAGCGCTGTGTGTGTGTGTGTGCGCGCATGCGCGCACACACACCTACCTCCTTGCTCTACAGTGCTATTTTTAGCAGTGTAACATCCTCCTACTTAAGCCTTCCCCTGCCCCAGTGAAAGGCTCCAGCTGCTCCCCCCTCTTGAAGCCTGTTGCCATGGCATACAGCTAGCCCCTGCAGTGACAAGTGAGAACACAGCCAGTACTCCACACCCCACCAGTGTAAACGGAGCTTAAGAATGGGCGATCTTCTGGGAAGGAAACCTTACCCATCAGTAACACTACAGCTATGCCATCTAGTGGGCATTGCTGGACAGATGCAACTTAGTGTGAGAAGTTTATTCCACATCTGTTACGTGCCCCTGAAGAATAGGAGGCTGACACTGAGGGACAAGGTAGGGCCAGATATGCAGCATGTACCTCATTTGCCATGGAAGTTCACTCCTTTATGGTCAGTTGTCATCACTTTAGAATTTTGGTTTGTTCCCTGAGAGGTCCACAATGAAGTCTGTGCTAAGCAAGAGAACACAGTGCAAAAAGGAGAGGCAACCTCCACCCCTTTGAAATCCTCAGGCCTTGCTCTCTAAGGCAATAGATGCTATGTAAGTACTAATTCTTCCAGCAGAGTGCTCCATTAACAAGTGCTGTCAAAGCAGTCGTCATCTTCTCGCCATTCACAAAGTCACAGCTTTTCATCTGCTCTTTCTCCTAGGAACTGATGGGGTGGTGAAGAGCCCTCACAGCTTGTAGCCACTGGCTCAATTACATTAGGGTAATTTCCTTTTGGGGCATAGAGTGGAGGTACCACATAACTCCATGCAGCCTGTGTACCAGACTTTCTTTTCAGTCATCATCCTCTCATAACTTCTTAAAGGGCAGGTCCTTTCCACCTCCAGGTAGGAAGCCCTACAGCAATACAGCAGGAAAGAGTGTTCTTGCTACTTCCTTGTCACCACTAAAGAAAGCATGAAAATTTAGAACTGAACACATACATCAACAAGTTCAAATTCCATAGGGTGACCCTCTTCTCATATATTATCTGTATTAAAACAAATTGACTGACAGTGACAGCTGATCAGTGAATAAAGAATGTTGCTATAGCCAGGGCCACATGCACTCTGTTGGCGTTTCTCTTGCTATACCGCTATGTTCTAGCATCTAAGCCTTAATTGTGAAGCAGGCTTTAAATGAAAGCTATCTTCATAACAAGGAAGGGAAACAAGTGGAAGCTTGTTAAAACATAAGCTTTAAAAATCCTTTATTTTTTGTCAATTTAGTAAATTAATACCAATAAATGCATCTAGAAAATCATAGATAACATTCTGCTGCATGAATCACTTAACTTGTTAATGAAAATTTAAGGAAACTTGTTACAAACCCTCAAAATAATTTCACTATTTTATCTTATTTACAAAGCAAAAAGCAAAGTCCAGAGCAATATGGTTGGTACCTGTTGTGCTGGATGAGTAGAATACAACAGGAGAGTTGTGGCTGTCAAGAATTCATCATGGGAAGGTTTCCGGTAACATGGGCTATAAAACACCTCAGCAGGTGGATGCCAGAATACTCTATGGAACTGTAGAAACAAAGATTTACATGTTCAGGTCCTTGCTTCCTTTAAATGCAGGTGCCTAATTCTGCTAAGCTGCCACCGTCCCTTGGAGTAACAGGTAACTTCAAAGTCAGCCAATTGTTTGATACATTTTAAAACATCAATAATTTAGTCCCACAACAATCAGGAAATGTATAGTTCCTGCAGCAACTTTAACTCTACCCACTGCATAATCACAGAGTGGAATCAGCAAAAAATGTTATGGTACATCACAGATTCTCTTCACTTAGCTTTGTGTGTAGAAGGAAGTACTTGTCTTTCTGGTGCAAAAATGCAGCTTCACAAGAGTTTGAAATTACAGCTCAGTGGTGCCCTAAACATTTTCTATCCAATGAAATTAGGTGTTAATTCTTCCATTTAGTTTACTGCTGCAATAATAACAGAGTTGCTACACTCTGCAGCTGAGGTTTAGAGTTCGGCAACCCTTAGTACAAGTTTAACAACTTCACAAGACATGTTCAAAATAAGGTGATGTTTAATATTTTTACTAGGGTTCTCTGCTGAGATTTCTTTTAAACAAGGAAAAAATGTTACATAGGATTTTCCCCAGTTATACACACCACTTAATTTAAATGTCACGGGTCAAATTCTGGCCTATTGACTTCAGTGTCCTAGGATTTCACTTATGTTTCTCCATAAAGGAGCTACATTTGAACTTTTATCAGGTACAACGTGCTCAGCAATGGAAGCTTGGCTGTGGCTCGTCACTTAATTCAGGATCTCATTATAAAGGGACATTATCATGACAGTTACAAACTGGTGTACTCCTTTACACGTTATCTTACAAAATCCAGTGCTGATCTCCCCACATTGACAATTGCTCACTGCCCAATATCAAATAAAAAAATCCCGAGCCCATATGAGATAAGGGCACAGCGACCCCGGAGAGGAGATATGATACTAAAAGCACAGGCTTTGGGTAGTCACTTATACCCATACCAAGTGGCTGTAGAACATTACACCATGCTGATTTTTGGTAGCCTTTTGCACCGCTGTAAGTGACTTCACAAATGCAGAGCAATGGATATCTGGGTTCTATCTCAAGCTCTGCTACAACTTTTCTGTGTGTCCTTGGCCAAGTCACTTAGGAGCCTACATCGCTTTGTGGCTCTAGGCCTTAGCATAGTTCTACTCGGAAAACTGACACTGTAAAAGCAGCATTTTGGGGTCCCATGTTTGACACGCTCAACATCAACCTTGCTCTATTTACACAAAGAGATTTTTTAAATTGCTACAGTCTCAACCCAGAAACAGAGTCAAGCTGGGTTCTTTCCAACACATCCACCCCCCGTACAAGATTCTATATGCCAAATTCCATTCAGTTACATTTGTACCACGCAGCTCGGTTCAGTGAGGTGGTACAGATGTAACCAAGGGCAGAGCTTGGCCTGAAATCAGAAACTGGTTACCTGTTCTGCTAATGCTGGATCCAAAACAGAACCCAGCTCCCTCTCCCACAGTTGTACAGGCTCTGCAGGGCTAACCGGAATAAGAACATTGAAGTTAAAGTTACACACAGGCAGCAGAGCCTTTACGTAAGATGCAATTTTTATCTTGCTCTTTTTCAGAGTAGAACTGCATGTTAGCCTCTCTGCCCATTCCCGCATCTGCAGAGGGGATACTTTGTATACAGTCTTAGCGCAAAGTAGCCTTAATTTGTATTGGGCAGCATAACTGCACGTGCTATCCTTGGTATGCCTAAGAAAGCCACAACCATTTCAAACCTGGTCCCAAGCTATTGCCCATACGTGGTCTGTTTAAAATGAGTGCGGTAGTCTCAGACAGGCATTCACACCACAAAACCCACCATCATATGTTGTGCCTCTGCTGCCAGTCTCATCTGAAAGACCAAACGAGGAATGGGCCTTGAAAGCTGAACTCTCCTCTCACCTCTTTAGGGGGTTCTCCCTCAGATAGGATGGGATCAGCATGAGGGTAACTTGCCCTGACACTGCCCATTGTACCTATTCTGGGCATAAACAGGAGTTCGGTCTCCCAAACTGTCATACCTTTCAGTGAGTTTGGTGTTTTTCAGGTGCTTAAAATTAAGACATCAGTAGAAGTGAGCTTTACCTGACTGGGAAGAGTTGAGGAAAGCACCCCTGAGTGTGTTTCTCTGCGAAGTCTTGGATCTCCAGTACATTTTTAACCAACAGTCCCTTGGGAGCTTTGTCCATTTTGGTTAACACAAACTGCACAAATCCATAAAGAGAAGATTTAGGGAGCGGGGGGAAAGAATGTTGCTTTACCATAAACCTGGAAATGTTTGCCAAGAGGTATCACCCTCCCACCGCTTTCAAACTGCTCCATGTCCTATCTAATGGGATACTAGGACATGAATGCTGAGCACCCAGCCTATTAAAATCAGGCCTCTTTAAGGGGTGTCAAACTGGGCACCAAAAATAAGGTCAATTTTGAAACTTCAGACCTTTAAAAAAAAAAAAAAAGATTTTCAGGCCTCCCTATACAGTATGAAAAAGAAAAAGGGGGGGGGGAAGGGGGACAATTTTTTTCCCTGTGCAGATCACCTT